AAGAGATTCCACCTAAACATTAGGAAGAACTTCCTGACAGTAAGAGGTGTTTGACAGTGAAATATGCTGCCTCAGAGTGTGATGGAACTGACTATAACTACCTGTTATTTCAGTGTTTTGGTTGATAAGTTTCTGTCTTCAGCATGGTTCCAGAGCTTTGAAATATCTATAAAATGGGATGGTTTTAAGTTTTCTTTTGTTTAGTTCTTTACACATTTGTGAGTTACTAGGTCAGTAGCCTTCAAATGGAAAACTTGCTTTGTTTTACAAAGCTAAAGCTGGCTTTAATGTTGGGCAAAGTGAAGAGCTCACTTCAGACAGCTGAGGTTGACTAGTGGTGCAGTGGCAGACAGATAAGTGTGCCTTATATCAACCCATTTTTGCTTTGTTGTCCTGTTGTCTTTATCAATGATGAAGGATGCAGTTTTGCTGTCAGTAATGTATTTAAATAAGATTTAGCTGCCACTCATTCCACGCATCTGCATGTGGAATGGTAGGGTGTAGCAAAATATATTGGGCCACTCCTTTGCAAACCACATTCATTTGGTCTTTCCTACTTAAGTGTGTTCCATTCACTGCAATGGTTGATCTACTTAGCTAAACTAGTTTCCTACTGAAATGTGCTTTCTAAGGCTTTTTAAGCCTTAACTCCTTCTGAGGCTGGGTTATTCTGATCAAAATGGATAGTCAGAGTAAGTACTTTGCTATTAGTACCCGAAGAAACTGTCAATTGCTTCAGTCGGTTGCAGTATGTACTGAAATAAAAGTAATGTATCATGATCTGTTTGCACTTTAAAACATAGAAGAAATAGTGTGGAAAACTTGGCTTTGTAGCAGTTTGCTGAACATACTTGAGGAGTAAGTCTGTAAAAACCTTTGACTGAGTAAACATTTCTGTTGTTCAGTGTGTATTTCTGTTAAGTATGAAGACTATAAGATACCAAGAGCTCACACACTTAAAACAGCTTCTTGGTAATCATTTTTATAACTTTTGAAAGAAATATTTTTTGGGGAAAAATGGCTCTTCAAATACCTCAACATGATATTGTATACTGTGTGTGTGTGTGTATGAGAGAGAGAGAGAGAGAGAGAGAGAGAGAGAGAGAGAGAGAGAGAGAAAGAGTGAAGATTTAAAAAGACATAAAAATAAATTCTCTGCATAGATAAGATTTCCTTCTTTAGGCAATGGTATCTGAAGAAGCAATTCTTTTCATGAATAGGCAGCTGTGTATTCATGTACCTATGTTAATTATGGGAATCATGTTTCAACTTTTGAATTTCTGTGCATTTCTACATGCACTCTACTTTGCTGTACTTAAAATTAGGAAAGACCAAAAGTAGGACAAGGGCCAATCTCTTTGTTTTGGTCTGAAAGGCTTGCTTGAATTTTGTCCATGGTCTTTGTCAGCAAAAATATCCAGCTCTGGATGATAATTTAATTTAAATTGCATCTAATTATGGGAAGGTCTGGGTCTGCCACTAAAAATGGCATATGTCCCTAACATCCCATGTTAAGATGTTGCAATGCTGTGTATTTCACCATACCCATCAGCAGCAACCAGTGATGTGATTGAGGACAGGCAAACACACAGGATTAGACCATCATGACAGGACATGGATACTGGGGGAATATCTGCCTCTGGGAAGCAAAGGGAAAACATGCATTTTTAGGAATCTCATTTTCTGCACAACTGTCATCATCCCTAGCTACCATTTTGAGGGATGATGGGCTCTGCAGTTCAACACATCAGAAGGACTGTGGGTTGGGAAACCTGCTTTACAGTTGTCTTTTATAATCCTTAACATTGAGGCTTCAGACGAAATGTGAACAATAATATCATTATGGTACAATCGGCCAAAGTTATAACATTGTTGTGAGGAAATCCCATTGAACACAATGAGACTTGCTTCTGAGTAAATGGACTTAAAACTTTGTGGTAAAGTACACCATCCATTCAATACTAGCTTGAAAACCAAGGGATTTGCATTAAGTCTCCCAGCCATTTTTTTTACTTTTTTACTTGATTAACTGCCTGCTTTTTAATTGTTAATTGATTAATCAATTGTGTAAATTTGCATTTTGCCTACATTTGCAGAATTACCAACCCCCCATGTATTGGAGTATTTTAGGATGTTGAAGGAAACATGAGATATGCTTACAGTGTAATGAATGCTAACCCCTATTGTCAGGATTTCTTTGATGTCATTCCCTGAATTTCTAATGTTGCGCTGTGAATTTGGCAGATGTGGGGGGGAAGGGGAATCCTGTAGCTATTAGGAGGATGAAAAATCTTTAGAGGATGAAAACACTCAAGAACAGAGTCTGGAAAGAAGAATGAATATGAGAAGTTAGAAGACTGAATAGAATGACATGGTGAAGCCATCCATAACTGAGCTTAGAAAAATTACCTTTCTTTGTCCTACATATCTTAGAACTCATCAACCAGCATGCACAGTGGCCATGCTGGTTGGTGCATACTCACAATTGTAGTTTAGAAAAGTGAACTTTCCCAAACATTGGATATGATCATGCTCTGGGACCAGGAGCATCATCGTACTCAGTTATGGATTTCTTCACTATGTCATTATGTTCATTCCTTTTAAAAGTAGCTTTCCAAGCTTTGAGACTAAAAGGGATGGGGAAACCCCTGAAAACAGAAGCATGCTCAGTTCCTGGATGATGTGGTGAGAGGGGAAGAATACCAACTGAGAGGGCAATAGGAAGTATTTTAGTGAAGCAACCAAGTGTCATGAAAGGGCATTACTGTATTATTTAATGTGCTATTAAATAACATTTAATTGCTATTAATTATGTAGCGTAGTGGTTTGAGCGTCAGACTATGACTCTGGAGACCAGGGTTCAAATTCCAGGTCAGCCGTGTAAACCCACTGGGTGATCCTGAGCAAGTCACACTCTCTCAGCCTCAGAGGAAGCAATAGCAATCTCCCTATGAAGAAACATGCCAAGAAAACCTCATGATGGGATTGCCTTAGGATCGCCATATGTCAGAAACAGCTTAAAGGCACACAACAACAACAACCACAATTACTATTTAATTAAAAAAGTTTTACATTTTAATTAAATAAGTACTATTATTTAATTTACTGTATGTTTACTTCCAGGAGTAGTGATAAGTACTTAATGGAGTTTTTTTTCCCCAAGGTAACTTAACTGGCTTTGGTCACTTACTATCTTGACAAGGAGTGAGGGAGGAACTGCAATTTGTGCTTGTCCTGTTCATACAGTGTTTAGGCTTGGCTCTGGTTTGCTGTGTCCTGATGTCATTTTTGGGCTCCCTGACAATTTCTTGTTCTTGTTTTAGGTTGCATCATTTTCACTAAAACCAATCTGTTTTGAGCTAGAGTGCCTTCTGAGTTTGATCAAGACCTGAAGCTTTTAAATAAAATTAAATAAAATGTAAATACAATGAACTTAAGAGAAAAACAACAACGTGCCAAACTGTGTTGATAAAGAGTCTTTTTCCAGATGCTTTGGAGAACACAGAAAGTTACAAACACAAATTTGTTTATTTACATTTGTAGTGTCCATTTTCTAAGCTTTTAAAATACAAAACAGCAGGAGGAAGTTAGCTAAAACATTCCTAAGTTCCACTTCTCATGCAACGGAGGGAGGCATTTGCTTCAAGGTTGTTGAAAAGCAATATGCAAATTGAAAGCACCTTTGACACTAGATTGATTTATTCTGCCCTCCACTTTGCTAGGGGCTCATTAAAATTTGCCTTGGTCGGGCTTTGTAGGCTTTCTTTAGAAGTATTAATCCACTACAACTGGCTTAGGTTTGATGAACACTCACTTGGAGCCAGTTCACATGGCTACTATATGCTTGGGTAGTTACTGGGTTTTTTATCTGCTTGCTGAATCATTGGTCACAAGAGGAGTACTTGCCAGTCTTACAAACTCTTGCCAGATGAGTGGAGCTGAAGAATACTGGATGGGTTCAGAATGCCATTTTGCTGTAGCCAGCATAATATCTGGAAGAAAGGCCAAGATCCAAACAAGTCTTTATCTAACTCCAAGTTTAGGATGCCCATCATGTTTGTGGCAAGATTCTTTTTGAAATGAATGGCTGTCTCAGATGTAGTTTGCTGTATACAGTGGGAACTGCTGGGGTGTTTTTCCTTCTTAAATAAATGCCTTTACACATAGACAAAGCCACTGAGCTTAAAGTAACTCTTTTGGATTCTGACCAAACAAATTTGCAGCTTCTATAGCACCTCTTATCAGGGGTTTTGCTACCAAGGTTGTAGGTGGATTTTCTAGAAAAGTTGGCTTCAATCAATTTTTATATTTATGCACTGCTCAAGGTTCCACAAGGGTCTTTCATATATTTCAAAATGTTGTGGTTCCTTTTTCTCACTATCTTTGTCAGCGTACTAAACAATTTTTAAAGTGTTTGTGGGATACGTAGCAGGCATGATTTCTCTCGAATGACTGGTGAATTCCTTGGTGTACAGAAAAAAATACCAAATATAATTGTGATACCTTTAGGCTTAAATTTTGATTAGTGTTTTCATTTCAGTGTAAATATTTGCACTGGTGTATCAGACTTTGAAGCTGACGTAACGTTGTGATATATCATGCAGCTTTTAAACTTCCTTCCTTCAGGGATCTCTTTCTTCTTTGATTTGCCCTTTGAGGAATGCTGGCTTTCTCCCATGAAATCTCCCATACAGGGTAGTCTGGGATACAGAGCCTAGAATGTGCCTAAGAAATGGATACCAGGGGCTTATTAGTTAGGCATATAGTCTACCTCTGTACATTACAGGAAAAGTAATGGTTAGGGTGTTGAACTGAATTTTGGGAGACCAAGATTTAATTCCCCATTGAGCCATGAAATTCACCGGCTTGATCCAGTCACCCTCAGGCTCACCAATTCTTGTGGTTATTGTGTGGATAAACTGGAGAGGAATAGAGCAATGTACACAGAGTTGTCCTCTCTGAGGAAAAGTCAGCATATAAATAAGAATAATTATAAAATCTCTGTAAATAAAATCTGTAACTTGCTATTCTTCCATTCGTATGAGTCACAGAGACCACAAAAAATGACAGTTTGCATATCTGTAATTGTAGTTCTTTGAGTGGTCATCTGTGCACTCACACAACCATGTCCACCTTGCCCTCATCATGTCCTGCTGCTCCTATGTATTGGCATCCATGGAACTAGCAACCCTTATATAGGGTTGCTAGAGGTGGATGGATCTACTGCCAAAAAACCTTCTACAGAAGATTCTGAATAGTGCTGTGCACAAGCTCAGGATAACCCATTTGTGTGAGTTCACGGATGGCCACTTGAAGAACTACAGTTACAGGTATGCAACCTGTCATTTTCAACAGCTGGCTTTAAGGGATATTTCCATTCCACTAATCTTTTAACTGAAGAATCTCAGATAAGAGCCCAAGGATTCTGCAGATCATATTTTGAAACCATTGGTTTTATTTCATTGCATTGTCTAGGCTTGGTGTCTTCTACAAATTCCTGCATCCTAGGATTAGGCTGAGTCTCAGTACTTCAGCACAGCCCACTAGTGCTGATCTGTCTTGAGCTCAATCATGCAAGAGAACTGGGTTTGAAAGCCACCATTGCAGTGTTGCTCTGTGCTCTGTCGTTGTGCATTCTGAAATTAAAATGGCAATACCTCAAAGCCAGGGGTGTCAGTAGATTGGGAGACATGGTTGCCTCAAGTAGCAAGACACCAGCAACAGTAAATTCACATTGCCGCCTCTTGTTCACTTTCCCCTTCAAAGCTGCCAGAAATGTCTGCCTTGCCCAGAAAAATGAGGAAGATGCAATGGTAGTGCCCCCACCATCCAGAGGAGATGGAAGCACTAGCAGTGCCCAAGAAGGAGGAAGACATGATTGGTATCAATGCATTTCTATTACACCAGAGGCTGGCTTAACACAGAACAAGTACTTTCCTGAAAAAGCCAACTTTGTGGCTGAGATGTCCTCTCTACTTTTGGGAGGGACTGCCTTTGTAGGAAGGGGCCTTGGGTGGGGGAGTATTGTGACTATCAGGTCCTACTATTCTATTGGGGAACTGCTATTGTATAATTTGGAGAAGATAGTGTTTTGCTTCCTCCCTCGGGCAGCTAACTTGGGTTATTCTCTGAAATCCCAGTTTTGGGAGAACTGTTGTCTGTGCCCCCATTCCTGTTCAAGGAAACACATGATATAAGAGGGATCCCACCAGAAGAACCTTTTCCTACCTATCGCAGCTTGGAGTCAGTCATGTCATTGTTGATGATGATTTCCATTTTTGTGGTGGTGGGGGGTCTGGAATGGATCTCCTGCAAAAATGGAGGGGCAAGTGTAATTAATATGTCTAATTGGTTCTGTGTCATATGCTGCAAAATATGTTGGAAGCACTGATTCTGAGATGTGCATTTGAATGTCTTTTCAATACAAATCCAGGTTTACAGTCATTCATGCGGCAAAAACAATGGGAGAAACATTCCTTGATGTCATGCCATCTGGTGCTAATCTAATGATGGCTTACCATTACCATGGGCATGTAAACCCATGTAAAGGTTAAAATAATCTTAGAATGTGCTTTGTGTTTCACTGGGACCACAGCAAACCAGCAGTGGCCACACATTTTGTCAAGTCTACCTACATCCCTGTGGAAACTTAGAGGACCAGAAACTGTAGGGGAAGGAAAAGGAAATAATTACATACACATGTGACAAGGCCCAAATTATATTTTAGTTCACATTGCGGTATTTTTCAAACTGAACTCTGTCATATTCTTCTAAACTGCTGCCTTACAGAATATTCTATCCATATAAAACAGCACTAGTGGTGGGTGAGTTTGTTGAGCAAGAGATAACCCAAGTGTGTCCCTTGGCTTAATTTCAGAAGCGATCTCAGCATAACTCTGAAAAGTTTTTTGGGGTGCATTGGCCAAATGCAACTCTCTTGGATGGAGATTCTCACCTGTAGGTGGTATTCACATTGGCACATACTCCCCTATAACTATGTGTGCATTTGACTAGTCCAGACAACAGTATGTGGACATATAAAATTCCAGGTTTGAGTCAGGGGAATTGTACATTGAAAGTTGTCTTTGATCTCCAGCTATGTATACAGAGTTGACACTTCGGGTCTAAGAAGAGGTGTGCCTCCAACTGCTTCTTCATTTCAAGTATCATGGAATTGCTCCTTGCTTACAGACACTATTCACATCTTCTCCTCTGCAAGCCTTGTATGAACACCTCATCATAGCAATCTGACTTTGTAGGGTAAACCAAACAATAAAACCTTACGTCATCCGAGAAAAGAAAATACTTAGGATGGACTGGAAGCGCTGAGTGTATGTAGTTAATGTGAGGAGGTCTAGTAAAAAACCTGTTTTGCTTGAAATTCAGGCATCTACTTTCATTTAAGGTTTTGAGACTTTCTTGTTTTTCCTTCTGTCTAGTTCATAAATTGAAGAGCATTCCCAAAACACAAAAAAGCCACATCAAACATAAGTCAAAAGGAACCGCAAAAGTATTTGTTTTAAAGTTTGAACCCTTTCTAAAGAGTACGGACTGCACTGTGACTGTTGCTATCTCTGACTAACACTTAGTAATGTCTATCTGTAGTGTGGTAAATTTATAACTCCCCCCCTTCTCAAGGTTAATTTTGTGTCCAGTTTTAAATTCTGCAGATACAGCCTGCTTAATTAGCACTGAAACACATGGAAGGAAGATAGTCATCTTAAATAAAATCTGCAGTTTTGTTGCTGAGGCATTTTATGTTTTACAGAGGAATGTTTCTGCTACATGTTAATTTGGAATGGACAATGGATCCTTCTGTATTGTACATGAAATAGTCTATTGTGTGTTGAGTTGCTTGCATACTATCAAATGGGATCTG